ATTTCATCTCCAAAGTTATGCAAACGGAAAGTTGTTGCTCGTCGTTCATCGCTTACAGTTCGTCGTGATGAGGTTCTTCGATCAAAGCTGCATGATTTACTTTCTAGTGATCCCATCGATAAGAATGAAAATCAACAAATGTGTTCTAACAGACAAGCACAAATTTCTGCTAAGCTCCGTCGAGGAAACTATGACCTTTTAAATTATGCTCCTCAGGATCAAGTTGTAAAAACAACATCAAAGGAGAGTGAATTTAATGATGTAATATCGCATCGTTCTGCGATTACTAGTAACCGTGCTAAAAAGATGGTTTCCACTGCATTGCTTACTTGTTCAGCATCGAAGCGCAAAGCAACTGAAATTTCAACTGCACATTCCCCAGATTCACCAAATTATCGAAAACCAAACGAATACAGCGTTTCTAATCCTGAAGGTACAAATACACCAAAAAGGGATACAAATTCAAAACATTCTGTTACTAGAGAAGTCCACCTAAATACTGAAGAATTGTCCGCATTAGATGACATTTTAGACCAACTTGTCAGAAAAGATGACCTACCTAGTCATAAGCATATTAAGCAAGAAGCTGTCACTCTAGGTTCATCACAAATATATTGTCATAACGAACACAATACACAATCCTCTGTACATGATGAGACACTTCAGTTGCTGAATTTAAGTGACTGGTCACCTGTTAAGGAAGAGTTAGTTATGTAAGTAGTTCATTGTTTTCCTTTTTATCTGGACCTATTTATGACTCTGAGTCTCTTTTCTTATTCGCACGATAAAGTCCTGTATTTGTTAATAAGATTAAGTTGAAAGTAGGTTTTTGTTTTTATAGTCGTTTGTAATTGAAAAATGTTAGTGGTTAAATTCTAACTCTTATTTGATAATAACGTTAAATCTTTGTTCTCATCTCTTTTCTTTTTTGCTTAGTGTTTCTCAAGGGTAAATAAACCAATTAGTTAAGGACGTTGAAAATGGTTCTGATGCTATTTAATATCAATTTGAAATCAAAAGTCTTGATAGTTATCGCCTATGTTTTTGACAGTTCTAACAAATTAACAACAGAGGAGTACAGCGAAGCATTACAAATATAAAGAATAAATGCACACTGTTATTCATTGCTCGATTATGTACAGTCAAACTAGAGTTGGACCAATGATACATAGTTTTTAGCTGCGTACATCATTCCAACCTTAGATTTAGAGTTGATTAATTTTGCTTATAATACTTACATTAGTTCATGTTAAAGGTCATAGAGGTGTAAAAAATAAATAAGGTGATATGATGAGCATTTACGAATAAAGTAATGAGAATATAAGACCTTTAACTATTATAACAATAACAAAAACATTTTAATCATCTTATTAGTGCATGTGTTGCCATCCAGAATGTTTTTTCCAGATTGTAGTGGTTAACGTTTATACGTTGTATATGTTATAATTACAGTTATTGAATACTGTGTAAATATAATTTGTGGTGTTACTGTGCTGTTCAACAAAGTGATGCATTTTCCATAATCAAGTGTATGACCGATCCTATCAGTTTTTGAGTAAGCTTTATGGTATTTTCCACATAAATAACTGTAGTACATTGGTGTCCTTGCTATCTACTGAAATATATCAATGCAGTTGTAGGGAACTCACAAATCTCTGTTTTGTATATACATCCTTCTCACAGTCGAAATCAAATTTACTCATACACTGTTGTCATTGGTTAGTTAGATATGGATTTTATCATCCACCTAATAATTTTCTATATACTGATAAAGGTTGTAAAAGGATTAGTTTGCAATGCGATACTTCTTGATTACCCTGAATGGAAGTGATCGCTGAGTTATTTGTTAAACTTATAATTGATTGAGTCTAAAATGCAGGTTTTAGGCCCATCAATAATGCGAAGAAACATAAGATTATTTTTTAAAGTTTTGAACTAGATATGAACCAAGTGTGTGGGTTGGTGACTAATGTTACTAATCAACAGGTAGTTATTAAGAGACGTTATCATACCTAATGTGCCATAACTCAATATTTCGTTACTTGGGTGGATACATTTGTTTCATAGTTTATCAGTAGAGTATTTCCTCATGGATTATATTAATTTTTTCTGAGTATATAAGTCCAATTTTAACCGTATACAGTTTCACAATGTATGATGATTTTCTTTATTATTGCCAGAATTATTCATTTTCCAAATGTTTCTTTCTCACAAAGGTTAAAACAACAGCGTACTGTTGAAGATCAGTTACTTCAAATTCCGAACCAATCATTTTTACGTGGGACTGTTGTGCAAATAGATAACAAATGGTCGGTTATCATTAGTTTTTCTAATGAAATACCTTTTATATTTATATGTTTAAATTATCAGAATTAATTTGTTTGACGATGAATGAAATTTTTTAGTTATGTTTTTTTTGCGTTGTTAATATTAAAACGTCCATTATATAGAGACTGTAAAATGTACTCTGTAATCTTATATTGGTATTTACACTACTCCAGTCTTGCAAACTTTTTCACATGAAACATTTTGGCATTTCCTAATAATTCATTTAGTGCTATGCACTAAAACAAATGGCGTGATGTATTACTTGGTACCTTATCACTGTGATTAAAATAATAGCTTACATTTTCATCGTTTATTATATTCTGTTGTATATCCTTAACTATTTCTCCGTTTCTCGACACAACTACAACTCATAGGAAGGCATTCCTATGAGTTGTAGTTGACCTAAGAGTATTTTAGATGAGTTAGGAGTTTCCAATTAACTCGGTTTCAGGAATTAACACTGTCATCCAAGTGTTCCAGAGGTTAATCAGTACATGTTGTTTAAGGACTTTGTGAGTGGTAAGTATATTAAAATTTTCATTTATTTGAGTAACTGCATGATTATTCATAAAAAAACACTTGAGAAATTTTATTCAATCCATGGAGTAGTATTTAACAAACTATTTGAAAAAAACTGACTTTATGTCAGTAAGGTCATACAACAACGACAACAATAATCGCATTTGTTTTACGATATCTTCGATACCATTTCATACGGATAAATGTATATCAATGAAAATTTAAATACATTTATTTCTTTCATTCAACATTTGTCATTACTGATTTTTGAAAATTTGCACGACTTTCTATGTTTTACGCTTTTTCTTATAAGAATTTGTGTGTAACTGACAGTTTGGATATATTCATCTATTTTTTTCTGTTTTTTTGCATGGTCGTTTTATTAAGAATTCACACTGTGTGAACAAAATTCACTAAGTTGAACCATATAAACTGATTTTCTGGTTCACATACTAGAATAGCATAAATAATACTTCATCTGTACCACACAATTGGATATGTCAATCTGATGGATTTATCTGCTAAAAAGTTATTCATTTATAATTGTTCCAGTAATTGTTTTTTTTCCCATTATACTGTTTTGTTGTACGTATTTTACCTTGGTTACGTGTATTAATTATGCTTGATTAATCCAGAAATCTTTTTTAAAATCAAATATAAGCTTTCATTGTCAGAAAAAAAGATAATCATAGGCTTTACGATTAACGTGCTGTGTTCAAATGATTACCGTCATTCATTTTAACTTTTTTTAAAGACACAAAATACGGAAGAAAAGAAGAAGCAATAATAGTTCAGTAAAGAGTTTTCTTTTTCCAGTGATTCCATTCTCTAAAAGTTACACATGCTCAGTGAAATTCATGTTTTTGATTTGTTTGGTACACCACAATTCTTTTGAATAAATGTTAGCAAATTAAAGAAATAAACAATCATGAAAGATCATCGAAATTAGTCTAATTTACACAGAAATCGGATAAAAGTTATCGAGTTTGGATAAATAACTGCGCGTATGTTTTAGAAATTAAATCAGTCAAGTGCCGTCAGAGGTATGAAATCGGTTGTTACTTCTTCGTTGCTCACGCCCTAAAAGGGTATTTCTTGAGGTAGTCGTAAATAAAACTGGTTTAATATTAGTCTTAATGACCTAAGGGTTAACCACGGAGCCCAAGGGCAAATGGTTGATTTTGGTTACACATAGTTTTTGTACATGAATTTCTTGATGTAGTACCTCCGTACTTCAAAAAACCTTATTACAGAAGACGGAATTCTGCGGACTAAATTAAGAAGTGTTATTTTTAGGGCTCGATTTAAGGTTCTCTAACCAACCTGGCCTTTTTGACAGGACCTAAAGAAACTACTGTTCTATCCATTAGAACCCAACTGGGTTATCTTAGTAGACAATTCTGACCACTACATCACGGTAGCTGTTGTAGTGAGGTAAAAAAATGTGTTCAGAAAAGAGTATAAGAAAAATGACTGAATAAACACTTATTATGTAGTTAAAGTTTTGTCGTGCTTAGTTAAAACTCGTATGAATACGACATAGAAAGTGACTCTTTGTACACAGCTCATCACTGTTTATTTAGAGGTTATAATTTCGGCTATACAATAAATTTGAAGGTATACAGTCTGTTTATATATGTTCGGATATATACATTTTAGTGCTTTTGTACACTTTTGAATATAGTCAGTTTTCAAACGTTTTTTTATTCTTATTTCTTACTTCTTATAGTTGTTCAAATAAAAAGCTAGTTTTCTATTTATACGTAAACGTACTTGTGTATGTTATGTTTTATAGTGACCAAAGTGAACTAGTTGTTCAGTTAGATGATGTCAGTAATACAACTGATAATAGAACCAAAATAAATGTCATACTACGTGATTCTTGGTAAGTAAATAACTATTCACTTCTTATCGATTGGTACTGTCTTTTTTAGTGATACAATTTATCTTCAAAAAATTGCGTTGCACGTTTTTTTTTAAAATCTTTATTTTCTATCGACTTTCCACGTCCAATTTATCAAGGTTGCTCTGTGGTTTTATCCGTTAATGTGATAAGTCGTGTAGGTTGAACGCTATATACGGTCCCTAAGCTATTTCGGTAACCCGCAGTCTAGAACTACACAGCGACTTGAACTCCAGAGAGAAGACACAAGAATGAGAGAAAGCACTTTATTCCAAGGTTCATTCTTGTACAGAAAATCATGGGTATTTATAGATTTTGGCGTCTGTTAAATCAACATCATTTTACAGCCAATCCGATAACAACACATCATGCTACCGACCAATAGTAGCACGCCACGTTGGAATTCTAGAACGTTCCATCACACTCTGATTGGCCAGGACTCTTCGGCTCCTTGTGGGCCTCTGGAGGCTCCGTTGAAGTTCTCCGGAAGCCGACCCAACACCTCCCCCGAATAAGATTTCTTTCTGGGATCCACTTGTAGTTTGATAACTGGATTGCGTCGGCGTCCCATTATTCTTGTCGTCTTTCTTGTCCAAGACTTTTCAGTGTTCCTGGGCGTTTGTGGCATTGGTGCGTCTAAGATTAAATCTAACGGGAAAGTCGGCCGGTTACTTCCAGTCTGCACCGTTCTTTTGTCCTTAAGGATTTGATTTGTGTGACGTATACATGTCCCAAAAGCTCCTCGAACTTTGTACAGTACTCTTCCCAGTTTTTGCATCACTTCGCCCGGCTCCCATCGGTTCTTCCCGATGTAGGATTTAATGTAGACTTTGTCGCCAATACTGAAGTTCCGGATACTTGGGTCGCGACTACGCTCATCCACTAGTTTGGATGGCAACATGGCATCAAAGACTGTTCGAATACGCCTTCCAAACATGGCTTCCGCGGGAGATTTGCCGTCTTGAACATTTGGGTTTGGGGTGGATCTGTATGATGTTAGAAATTTTGTGATCACCTGCTCAGTCGCCCCTTCTCCTCCCCCTTTCAGTAATGCTCGTTTAAAAGTGTCCACAAAGCGCTCTGCTTGTCCGTTTGATTGTGGATGATAGGGTGGAGAACGAAGATGATTTATTCCGTTTGTTCTACAGAAATGTTTAAACGATTCTGCGGCAAACTGAGAGCCGTTATCCGTCACTAAGGTCTCTGGTACTCCGAAACTGCTAAATAGGGTAGACAACTTGCGGATCGTTTCTGACGTTGTACAATTTGGCATGATGTATACTTCCGGCCATTTAGTGAATGCATCTACGATAATTAGAAACATTTTCCCTTGGATTGGACCGGCAAAATCTGCGTGAAGTCTTACCCAGGGTCCCGCGGGCATAGGCCAACGCTGAGGTTCGCATTTCGAAGGATTTTTAGCGGCTTGAATACATGATGAACAGTTACGGCATTTATTCTCGATATCTTTGTCCATTGACGGCCAATAAGCATAGCTACGAGCCAAAGATTTCATTTTACTGATTCCAGGATGGCCACTGTGAAACTGCTTGAGAACCTTGTGACGTAATAACTTCGGAATAACAATGCGATCACCGAACATAATACAGGAGTCAACAACCATTAGAGAGTCCCGTCGACGAAAATATTGCAAAAGTTCTCCGTCAAGGCGATTGTTTGGCCATTTGGTCAAGAGATAGCATTTAACTGAGCTCAGTATCTTATCACTTTCAGTTATCTTCTTGATAGTTTCAAAGGTTACTGGGAGTCCATTAACTGCGTCATCCAACACGCGATGAACTTCTTCCTCGGCTTTTATATTTGCTACAAGAGTCTCCTCCGGGGTTTTCGATTGAGAGCCTATTAATCTCGACAATGCGTCAGCTTGCCCGAAAGCGGTAGTAGACTGATACTTGATCTTGAAGTCGTAACCCAGAAGTGTGGTTGCCCATCGTTGTAGTCTGTTAGCTGTATGAACAGGAATTCCTTTCTTTGACCCAAAAACTGCAAGTAGTGGCTTATGGTCTGTTATTAGGGTAAAATGTCGACCATATATCATCTTGTGGAACTTTTTCACTGCAAAGATAATTGATAGGGCTTCTTTCTCGATTTGGCTATAGTTCCTTTCGGTCGTTGTCAGAGATCTGGCAGCGTGTGAGATAGCTTTTCCAGACCCATCAGGAAAAATGTGAGAGATAACTGCGCCCACACCATAGTTAGAAGCATCTGAAGCGACGACTATCGGTAGAGAAGGATCATAATGTGTCAATAAGAGATCGGAAGTTAGGAGTTGCTTGATTTTCTCAAAAGATGCTTGGCAGTCTGCAGACCAATTCCATCTTGAGTTCTTTTGTAGTAGGTTGTTTAGTGGAGCACGTAGACGATGGAGATCGGGGAGAAAGGTACCGTAATGACTGACCAATCCCAAGAATGATCGTAGGGTAGTAACGTCCCTGGGTCTAGGCATTGTGTTCACTGCTTCAATGTTCTCTGGATCTGGACGTCTTCCGTCTTTATCTATTATGAACCCAAGGTACCGTACTTGCTGCATATAGAAGTCACACTTTTCCGCCCGGAGGCGAAAACCATAATCAGCTATGCGTTCTAGTACCTGGTCCAGTTTCTTCTGCAGGTCCATTTTATCTACTGCCGTAATTATGATGTCGTCTAGGTAAGCTGCAGCTCCTGGAATACCTTGTAACATGGTATCCATAATTTGCTGGAAAATAGAGGGCGCTGTCTTTACCCCAAAAGGTAGTTGGTTATACCGGAACAGACCTTTGTGCGTGTTGATCGTTAAGAGATCTTTGCTTTCATCAGATACAGGAATTTGTAGGTATGCGTCTGATAAGTCCAATTTTGCAAAATATCTGCCACCGTTCAGCTTAGCGAAAAGATCTTCTGGTAAGGGTAACGGATACTGGTGAGACTGTAGCGCTCCATTTAATCCCGTGGAGTAGTCTGCACATAAACGAACACTTCCATTCGACTTCTTGACCACCACTATTGGTGCAGCCCAATTCGAGAAGTTCACAGGCTCGATAACACCCATTTGCTGAAGTCGTTGTAATTCTTGTTCAACTATTGGAAGAGCAGCATAGGGTACGGGTCTTTTAGGTCGAAAAACGGGAGCAGCTTCAGGTTTTAAGGTTAACAGTGCTTTAGCTTTCGTACATTCTCCCAATCCTTCTCTAAACACGCTTTGATGTCTTTGTAGCATGGCGTTTTTCTGATTCCATTCTGGGGTGTTGTCTGTACTTACTCGTCTGCAGATACTGTTGATAGAATGATCTGCTAGTTTAAGTGTTTCTATAAGGTCCAACCCCATTAAGTCTAGTGCTGGCTTTAAGTTTACTAACCTTTGGCACTCAGTAGTCACTTCTTGCAGGGTCATATTAGGGCAGTGTTCGAGTTTGCTTAAGAGTCTGGTTCGGATATCGGCATCTTCGGGTGAACGCAGGCTGCAGATAAACACTAAGCATTTAAACTGATCTTCAGACATGGACGACAATCTAAACCTCTCACACTCTCGGTTCACCGTTCCTGCATGCTTTACCCAATCATCTCCTGGTTCTTTTGTTAACTTTAAGCATTGGTAACGGATATTAAATAGAGATGATTGTTCTCCGAATATTTGGGATAGGGTTTTGACTGTATCATCAAAACTAAAATCTCGTGGGTTCTTCGGAAGAATGAAGTTGCTATAGCGTTCATGTTCCATAGTACCAAGTTTTCTAAGAAGTATTCTGACTTTTGAAGCATCATCCAGTTTGCAAAGATCAATATAAAACAAATCTTCATACTTCTTAAACCACGACTCGAAAGTTACACCTGCTACACCATCAAAATTAAAGTCATGGATGGCGTTAATGACTGAATCAGTATGTGATACTTGAGATTCACTAGAAGCAGGGTTTTTCCCGGACAGGCAGAATTTCTGCATCAGGGTTTCCATGATTCTAATTTGGGACTCTTCAAACCTCTTTTCTTGACGCACCATATAAGCTTCTAATTGCTCCAAGGAAATATTCATTGAAGTTTTCATCCCCGTCGCCACTGATAAGTCGTGTAGGTTGAACGCTATATACGGTTCCTAAGCTATTTCGGTAACCCGCAGTCTAGAACTACACAGCGACTTGAACTCCAGAGAGAAGACACAAGAATGAGAGAAAGCACTTTATTCCAAGGTTCATTCTTGTACAGAAAATCATGGGTATTTATAGATTTTGGCGTCTGTTAAATCAACATCATTTTACAGCCAATCCGATAACAACACATCATGCTACCGACCAATAGTAGCACGCCACGTTGGAATTCTAGAACGTTCCATCACACTCTGATTGGCCAGGACTCTTCGGCTCCTTGTGGGCCTCTGGAGGCTCCGTTGAAGTTCTCCGGAAGCCGACCCAACATAATGAATGACTTATTAAGGGAAGCTGTAGAGTTTGACATCGTTCATATCCAGGTTATCCGACATTTCTTGAAATTCTTTTGAAGTTATCTACCAGTTGAATCACTCCTTGATAAACCTCTAGTAGGAAAAGTTTTAATAAGTTCACAGTAAATTTTTTGACGATACTGTTTTAAGTAATAGTTGGATACTATATTATATAATTATTGCAACTCATTCGATTTCGATTGTGTATGGCCATATTGAGACTTCGATAAAATTAAAGCGGTTGTCCTAATCTTAGTAGTTATTTTGAATTCCATGTCCTGGGTTCGACCTCCGACAGGGTCATGGAAACACTACTGAGAATTCCCATATTAAAACATCTTCTTGATGTCGACTGGTTGTTTGACTAAAACCAGTCTGTGATGTAAACCATAACATTTTATCCTATTTAACCATTGTCAATGTTTTCCATTCATTTTTTGAACTGAGAACATCAAATGTATGTAGTATATTTTATTTTATTTTTTCAGGTTCGATACGCCTATTCGAATAAAAGACGCTATAAATATCATTCCAAATGTATATGGTGATATAAAAAGTCCTGTGTATAATAATTCTACTCTAATTATATCAGATGATAATAATGATAGGACTCATAATGATTGCACGGCTTTATGTTTAAATCCAGATTATTTATTACCAACTACAAAAGTTGTTAGTAGTTTAAATTGTTTGAGACGTGTAGTTTTGGAACAGTTTTGGGTTACTGATGGTGGTTATCGTGAGGATAATGAAATTATTGTTATCGATTCAAATCAAACATATAATTCTCAATGTGATGTAATGTTGACGGGTAGTTTAGTGCATGAACTTTTCCAAAAGGTAAACGTTTCATTATTTTGTTATAAAAATTTTATGAATGAAAAAAATGTGTCTAATAGAAGAAAGGTTATATATTTTTAATCAATTTTATTTAACTATTAAAATTAGTGAATTTGAATACTGTTATATAATTAGTTTTAAGTAATAAGTCATGGTATTTTGGTGTTTCATCCAGCTCTCTGTATACTTTAAGCTTCAATGCCAATTTACATTCTATGAACATCATAAACACGGATTAGTTAAAGTGTTTACTTTCTTAGTCTGTTCAATTTTTAAACTATTTTAATAACGTGATTGGATTTAAATGTTTTGATATTTTTGTTTTAATGAATATTTGATGCTTGTAAATTACATATTGCAATTTTTACTTATATACTTTATACGTTACATGTAAGTGCATAAATTTTTTGAATTTACGTAAATATTACTGTCATGTTCAAAAAGTAATACACATAAAGAACAATATTTTATAGGATTTTATTATTAGTTCAGGAGACTGATTTAATTCATTATTTTGACACTATGTATAATAGTGCATCAATTAGATTGTCTCATTTCTTAGCTGTTTAACGTTGGAGTATTGAAAAAATAACTAAAATAGCTCATAGTAAGAAGGATAATCATACATAAATATCAAAATTAAAATTTTTTAAATTCTGAATGTAGTTGATTGACGTTTCCCTTTCAGTCGAATTGTGTTAGTTGAAAACAATTTTTTCAGATAATTAAAACTCGCTGTCATTAATTTTTATGGCAAAATGATTTGCAACAATATATTAATTTTCTCGACATCTTTATACTTGGGACTAATTCATGGGTCATTCTTATTGTATTATTTTAACTTTGTCCATAGACATTGTTTCTTGTCTGATGACCGTGTTCAGCAGTGTTTTTTTAGTTAATTTTCTTAATTTGGTGTACGTATTTTGATCCTATTCTCTCAAGAAATTAGTGGATATGGTTTCTAAAAGTTACGCGAAAGCACAGTAACTTCCACATATTTTTTAATTATTTAGTTTTGTCTATTTTATGCAGTTGGTTTATTCCGTTTTATTCTTAGTATCTCTACATTGAGCAATAGATTAGTTGTGTTTCCTGTTATCCGTTTTTTATTATATGGCTTAACGTATGAATGGGTTGCGCAATCAAAGGATATGGTTATCATATGTTATGTTTTGCCTTAACTTGCTTATCTGGTGCTCACTGTTAAGTTTTAGTATTATGATTCATAGTACACTACTTGAACAAATGTAGGATATCAGATTAACTGGTCTGCATATGATGTGCGCGTAATAATATTCATTCATACCGTTTATCCAAAATTAATGAGATTTACTCGTTTTCACTTATGTCACTACCTATTTACATATTTTGTTGCTTGTTTTATTGTTTACTAGCAGACTTACTTAATCAAATATACATTTGAATATTCACCCAATGAATCAACAAAGTTTATAAAACTACTTATCGAGTAGTTAATGACTACAGCTGAAAAAGTACACTAATGCTATTATCCCACTTAGGATACCTTAGACTTTACTCTGGACACGTAGATAAAGGTTATAACATCTGTTTCTCATGCAGCTGATTGTTGATTACTATGTATGATAGTATTAAAATGTACCAGCTCGCAAATTTTATATCGACTAGATTTCATTAAACTAAGTGACCATAACTTGAACTGTATAGAATACTTTGAGTCATTGACATTATATAATTGTTATAGATAGTACACAGCTTCTGGAACCAAAGTGTGTAAAGCTAAATTGAAGTTTTAAATTTGATTGCTGAAAGACAAATACTTATAACATAATCATACATCCAGTATTTAAATATTGCCACATTATTGTATTTAGGTTTGCCAGTTAAATTACGAAATTGTATACTGATTTCTTTTCCAAAGTTCGTCTTTTGATTCTATCAATTTCTCTCTAATTAAACGTTTCCTTTATTGGTGGTTTTTAGATAATTTCTAGACATAATATTCAAAGAGACGATGTTTTACAAATTGTTTCGGGACTCATCTATCGTCCTTCAGTAGTTCTACAAATGTGAGTTCTGATGATTAAATTACTACAAGTTTCTTCCACATACCTTTTTGAAATGTTATACGTATTTTTATTTGATAATATCCAATTACACTGTAAATTGAATTCTCATCCTTTTATGATTTGCTGAATTGATTTTATTACCTAGAGCTAGCTATATTATCAGTGTAACTGTCATATTTAACTTCGAACCAGTTGTTTTAACTTCAAATTTATTTTTGGAATCGATAACTTTTTAAAGTGATGTATAACAACATGGTCATGTTGGGAGTAAATAGATTCAGAAGTTTAAAATGAATATAATTTATAAGGGAGTTTTATTGATCTTTTATTTTGTTTACAAAAAGCTTGATAATATGGGAATCGTCTTTTTGCTTATCATATTGTTCGGGTAGAAGACATTTCATTTAGATAGTAAAATATTGGATGCATATGAAACTGCTTAGATTGCGTATATTTTGATGGTTAAAATTATTTTGACAGATACTGCACAACAAATTATTTCAATATATCAATCCATTAGCTGTTCTCTTATTTAAATAATCTATACTATAGTTTAGTCTTTAATTAATCAACAGTGACTGTTCTCAGTTTCGAAAATAATCCAGTTTGAGAGTTTTATTACTAGCCGAAAATAATTATCCATTATTTAACTGCTTTTACAGATCCTTTACATGTTATCGTTTCTTGATAGTTTTTTTTCAATTTAGTAAGTGTTATCTGATAACTATTTTAATAGTTGAATTCATAGGTCGATGTAAGGTAGACCATCATTGAAAACCTGGAGACACTGGACAGTCGTGTGAGACTCCTCAGCAGCGCTCATCAACGGTCCCGCACGCGGGACTCGAACCCAAGACCTTCGGCCTCGCGCGCCAACGTTTAATCTTTAGACCACTGGGCCGGCCGGCATCCAACGGTGTTAATGTCTAACTACAATTGATCCATGGATTCAACTATTAAAATTACTATAATTTCCACGAAACCCATTCTGATGATAACTATTTCCCAGTTCATTTTCTGAAAATAAAATTGCTGGTAATTGTTAGTCTTTCAGATTCGTTGTACAGTTTCATTTTGTAATTATTATACGAAGTAAATTCATAATTCAGTGGTTAGTATTACTTCTAACTCTTTTTAGTAGACAACGAAGAAAAGCAACAATGTTTTTTTATCAAGTTAATTGTTACACTTTAATTTTTGTAACTAAGGTATGCTTCTGGTATTGAACCAAAAAGTTTGTTTACGAAATTGGAAGAGTTTATTCCGAAAATTTTTGACTGGACCCAAACACACTGTATTCAACACTTACCTTCTCGTAATAGGTAAATTATTGATTTCTAATTAATGATTGTTAGTATTTCCTTTTTTTACTTGTTACTAATATATCTAATTCGTTGTACTATTTTATAACAATAAAACCATTATTAGTTTCCATGATAAAAAAAGTTTTATGCCTTTGTTTATTGTACCTCACTCTTACTATGTTTAATAGAATTTCGTTATCACTATTATTGTAATTTTTATCATCTCGAACAGTATTTATATACTTGCGATTGTACAGCTTTAAAAATTAAATTAATCGAAAAGAGAACTCTTCATTGAACCAATCTTTTCTACTTTACAGTGGTTTTGACAAGTAAATACCGGATTCAAACTGTAGTTATTTCAGACTATATAGTCGTATAACTGTAACATAAACTGTTAGCCTCAAAATTGAGTAAATAAATATGTACTTGGTATATCAGTTGGATGTAGATGTAGGTCATTTATATTACACTGATTTGATAATCGTTTTGTCATATTTATCATTTATAAGTATCTTTTTAACGTATCAATAATGTAAGATTTCAGAAAACTATTAG